ATATATATATATATATATATATCAAATATTTATATATTTATATATATTTATATACATATATCTCAAATATATATATTTAAAATATTTATTATCATATAATTTTCTTAATGCATCATTGATAATTCTTGATGTGCCAGCGAATCGTGCACAGTGTTTTGTGTAATATAATATACAATAAAGTATAAATATATTATCTAAAAAGTGCATACATACTAAACTGATCATATATGCAATAATATAACAATGATTGAAACAAAAAAGCTTTCACATATTTTGTTTAAAGTTACATGAAATCATATGCATGCTAAGGTGAGTGAGTAAGGTAAGGTTCATCGTATTGTTCAAGTGCACGATTCAAGTGCTAAGCCGGAACTTGTTTCAACTCCAAAGCAGTTTTAAAATTCCGAAATTATTATATACGAAAACAAATTTCTTTTTAAAATCGTGCAAGTTTACGTTTCTAGCTTGTGAAATTATTCTCTTTATTTTTTTTTATTTTTGATGACATATTAAGAGAGTCAGTTTAGTGCACCCAAACCTGAAGAGGGGCTGAGGTAAGACTCTCCACTATCACCTCTTCGCCACCATCACCCACCTTAAATGAACATTAGAAAAATAAGATGAGTGAGCATGATATTTTATCGAGGTTCGAGACAAATCTGAGAGGTGTATATTAATATATCTTCTATAAATATAAAATATGTAAATATACAATTTTCACTGGTACTTACAGAATCGAAACATGCGTTTATCTTACTGATATTACATATACTTCATTTTAAATTTAAACTCTGCATTTAGACTGTACTTCAAAAATAAAAACTTAATATTAAAAAACTATTAAAAAATTGATACGGAAAATAGCAATCATATTTCAACAATAAATTCATTTCTGAAGTGATATCTAATACAATAATTTGTATATCATAAAATAGAAGATATAAAACACTTTCAAAAATTATAGAACACCTATATAATAAAGATATAACAAATTTTATAAAATAAAAGAAGATAAAAAATACATATATATAAAACATATATATACACATACATATAAAAAAATTTACAGACAAAAATATCTTCTTTTTCAATTTTGATATATCTGAAATTATTTTTATCACAAGATAAAATATATACTAAGTATACATCTTTTGATTCTTTATGATTCTAACATCAATCGTTCAAGACAATCTAATAATACATTAATACATGCACAATATATGTTTAATAAGTTACGAGAAATTTATGAATTTATGTTCAAAATAAAATGTTAGTAATTTCTAAATCAAATAAATAGATTCATCTATAAATTACCTTAATAGGTACACATGGATATTCTGGAAATGCTGCAGCAACTGCTCGTGCTCCTGCTTCATTTGTAAAATGAGACAACCCAACAAAGAATTCTCTACCTGCAACAAGATATTTTTATATTGTATAATGTAAAAATTTAGGTATTCTATATTTATAGATAAAAGTATAATTGTGGAATATTAACATAAATATCATAAATACAAAATAAAATTTACCAGTGAAAAGCACATCTCCACCATCCAAACGAGCATTCTTGTCGCTTATTTCTATCAATGGTATCTCTAGCTCTTTCTTCAACACAGCTCTGATGGTATCAAGCTAAAGGAAAGATAAAACAACAAATTAAAAATCAAACAACAGAGAAATCAAACTTAACTTAATTTTAAAACCTAAAATTATCTCTTATATTATTAATTCAATTTATCAATATATAAAGGAATTTTTTGTCTTTTTCTTCCTTTTTTTTATAATGATGATTTACATTTTATTAATTTTATTACTCTCCTGTCACTGCAAATTCAAATTTAGTCACTTTGAATTGTCTAAAATTGGATGTCTATATGTACCTCCTTGAGACGAGATGGATCGCTCGGATGGGCGATCAAGGCGATGCCGTTGCAGACGACGGCGATGTCCTCGACGAAGACGCAGAGTGGCGAATTCTCGTCGGGCGGCATCTCGACGACATCGATGTCGAGTTCGCGTAGAAGCTGCGCCAAGGCTAGATGCTGCGTCCTAGCTTCGTCTAGCGTCAGCTCACCCCGTGTACGCAGTGACAACGGGATCCTGCAGAGGATCGCGTGCGTGTATCGGTGCAGTGGCATGCCCGAGGATCTGCGGTTCTCGCCGACGAGCACAAGAACGTAAAATGCACGTCGTGCACCTGGAACTTGACGTTTAACGCTACTTGACGCGAAATGACGGGTCGACAAGCGGGCCTGCCAGCCGCACTAGCTGCTAGGAATTTCGCAGAGCGATACGCCGCTAGGAAATTCTCGTTTTAAATTAAGGCGGCCGTTTATAACGACTTCCTTGCTCGTTCGAAAATAAAAGCACGATCTGACAATAGCAGCGTGTAAATTGATTAATAGAGCATTCACGATGGTGACACTAATTTTTTTTTAATTATAAATTCATATTAACACTTACTTGCGTCATGGTAATAATTACGTGAATGAAAATGAGAAATAACTGGAGCGAGGGTAATCAGTACGGAACGCGAGATGTGGAATACGAGTCGCTCGTGAGCTTCGAAAAATCGTCACAATTAGCAGGGAAGCATACCGAGATAAGAGGTCGCAAGAGATAGCGAGGTTAGAAAACGCATCTCTCGAGAGCTGCGAAAAATCGTCAGAGTTATTAGAGAATTATATTAGGCGAGGAAGTAACCGGTAACTCTGGGTAGGTAAGGCGGAGCTTCGAGTTCCCCCTCCATTACGCAGATGGTCGAGTTTGGGAAGCCTTGCCTAGTGGTGGTGGGAAACCATTGCTTTCTCTGGGCTGCAATTTCATTGGCGGACCGATAGTGGGGGGTTGCTAAGGGGCCTGCGGTTGCTATGGAGCGTTGATTGGTCGCCCGGTGCCAGAAGTGGGAGCTCTGATTTCGACGACTTCTTCGCTCAACGTGTGGTCCTAATACTTCTTGATATTTTTCGGAGCTCTCGGAAGATGCGACGATCTAACGGCACTACATCTTAATACCTCTTGCCTCGACATGTTCCCCGAGTAATTCTGACGATATTCTGAAGCTCTCGAAAGACATATCTTCCAATTAAAGATACTTTTTGTCCATTTATGTTCTTCGAATAATTTTCGCGCACGCAGGACGCGGTAATTATTCTACGCAAAGATAAGGACAAATACGATTATTAATTAATTTCTTGTTTAAGACAATATTTATATAAAATATTACATTTTATCCAATTATTTTTTTATCTTCGTAATTCATTGTTAATAAAAATTAATGAATTTGCCAGAAAAAGGACTTTGATCAAACTTTAATTTAATTATTTAATCTTAATTACTTTATTTTTTATTCAATCGATGATATCGCTTATGATAAAATTTTTAGCTGCATGATTTATTATCCTTAATCTCTAGTTTTTCTTTCGTGTATAAAAGATGATGAAAAAAGTGATGATTCTATCTGTGCTGGTAAAATATTACATTTATTTGTTAAATTATAAATTATTTTTTAATTAAATCAGATTAATCAAAGATATTGTTTTAAAAAAATAAATAATTAGTATTCGACACAATTGAAATCATCAAATGCTTTTCAGATCGAATGCCGGTTAATGCGCATGGGGTCAAGGATTACCCTTTTCCAATTGAGCGCAATTATGCTAATTTCCAGTACGAGATTACGAGATCAATTATGTATTTCCATGCATGAATTCATATGCTTTCGCGATACGTCATCTTCAATATGCAAAAGCAACCTTTGAATAATTAAATTCAATTTTGACATTCGACAATTATCCTTTTTTTCTTTGATGTTAAAGTTACAGTATTATTTTATAAAAAAAAATTCATAAAGGATGTATCATAATTAACATATATATATATTTTATTTTCATGTTACTACAGTTTGCATAAAAAAAGGATGGCAGATTCGGAATTCACTAACAAAGCTATCATACCCTAACCTAAAAAACGGACTCGAACGTTTTGCAGGTGAGCGCCTTTATCGGGGAATGAAACTATATTTACGCGTTTGTTAATCTCTTAATGACGCGAGATCTGATTGGATTATACGAGATGACCCGCACGTAAGTTTATTATCGCTGAAATTGCTGTGCCGGCATGACGAGAGTATCTTGAATTGTCAAACGCTCATCGGAGCTTGACGGGATGTCGCGAGGATAGACGCCGTTATTCGTCAATGACGTAAGATGAAACTACGTCGTGTGCCGTAATAATGCGCCTCAGATTCGTCAGGGCGGTCCTGGTCCTTGCTCTGTTAGGCAACATCATCGTCTGGCATAGGATATGGCGGCTGTTCGCGGCGCAAAACACCCTGGGCTTGCTGACGCCGAATGTAGCAACGAACGAGCCCCCGCAGAAGTTTCACCGGCGCCTGGCCCGTCTGGTTACCATCGTCATCAGGCAGTTCGAGAGCTTCGAAAACGATGTGGCGTCCATGGTGGAGTCTGTTTTGAATTCCTTTCCAGGAATACCCGTCTTGATAGTATGCGATGAATTGCCATATCCACCACTGGAGCTGAATTTTGCCAACGAGAGCATGAGAAATGTCAAGTTAATCAGTTTACGGCCTGAGTTCAATAGATCCTTTGAAGATAGAAATCCACTTTTCTACATACGTACCAAGTTTGTCTTGTTCTTACCTGATGCAACAAGATTGTCGACTAAGCAAGTTATGCAGGTAAAAATTCTTTGTTGTATGAAAAAACATTTTGTCTTGCGACAAAATATAATTTATTTTTCTCTTTAATGTATATTTTTCAGGAAACTGTCTCGCAAGTGTCAAATTTAGGAATAGTTATTGTGCCAGTGGGAAAGATAGCCTTACATTGTCTTGAATTAGATTTAAGAGTAAAAGAATGGAGTTTGAGGATAACGCGAGTTACAGGAACAGAATGTGATAGTGTAATGGGCAAACATGTAACTATGCTTGAAGCCAAAATTCTAAGGAGATTGTCAGATCCATTTTTGTTGCCCTTTACGGATGCATTATACATTCAGACAACAGCTATTGGTGCAAAGGTAATTTATTTGTCTAATTTGAAATAATTATTTATTATTTTTATTTATTTTTGTAGTTTAATTAAGCTTAATATATCTGTTTCTATTAATATTGTACTGGAATTTATATACAATTGGATTTATAGTTAAATATGTAATATATATAGATATATTTATGAAAATATTTTTTTATGAATAGTTTGCGAATTATATTTTATTTTATTTTTAGTTCTGTGTTTTTGTGTCAGTGATTATTAGCATATAAATTTGTGTTTAAATTTTTTTATGTTTAAATCTTTTAATTTATGTGGTAAGTATTTTTTATACATTACATATTTGCTTTAAGATCAATATTTTTCTAATTCTTTTTCTATGTTAAAGAGATTTCTTTTTAATTAAATGAACTTATAATATATTTTGTAATGTGTTAGATACATATACTGAAAAAATATCAGTTCAACGAGGGAAAACCATTATATAGAAATCAGCAGGCACAGTCCAAGATGCAGCAATTATATCGCGCACGGGAGAGATTGATGTTCGAGAAATTGGGGATAAAGAAAGTTACGAGGGCTTCTGGATCCGTAGAATGGTATGGTTGTTCACGGGAATCCGCGAGATGCTTCGGTTCAGTGATAAATGGTGTGCCATCATATCTCTATCAGCATCGATACACGCCACCTTGTTGTCTGGCTGGGTTAAGAAAAGTTGCCCATCATGTTATTGATAAACTGGAAGAAGTTGGCATAAGATTCTGGCTGGAAGGTCAGTCACTGTTGGGAGCAATGAGACACGGCGATATTCTACCATGGGATTATGAAATACAAATTGGATTGAACCGAGACGACTTGGCAAGATCGCCGTGGTTGATTAGGGCCAGGAGTAAACCGGTCGTTGACGACGACGGCTTTATCTGGGAAAAGGCCACAGAAGGCGAGTTCTTCAAGGTACAGTATTCCAGAGTCAATCGTTTACATGTGAATCTGTTGCCGTTCTACGTGCGCAATGGATCTATGACGAAAGATGCGTGGTTCCTGAAGAATCGGGACTTCCCAGAGCACTTTCTTCATCCGATGTCGAGCATCGAGTTCGCCGGTAGACAAGTGCCATGTCCAAATAATATTAGGGACTTTTTAGAGCTTAAATATTTTAAAGGAGTGATAGAAAATCCAGAGTTACCTAGTAAATTTGTTTTCGATTAATTATGTGTCCATTCGATTAATTATAGTCCATTTTCCGATTAATTATGTGAGATTATTTATGGTAGTATTGTTGTCTGAGTTTATCGGTGCTTTAAAAATAAAGCCGTTAAATGTTATCGTATTGATAACTATATTGAAATATTATGCATATAGCTAACTAGGAAAGGATTATCCATGTATGAAGATGTTTACATATAAACAAATTACAATTTAACAACATCTCTCATCTAAGGAGAAGACTTGTAAACATTTCTATTTGCCTTATTCAGACCCTACTTTAGTAAGAAATAATGACAAATAATTGTTACCAAATGTTATCTTTATATCTCTGAATAACTTGGCTTAGAAATTCAGAATAGTAAAATTTAAATTCTTCTTGCATGAATTGACCTATTAATATATTGTGCCAAATAAACTTAGTATTTTTAATTAGATTTGCTGATAGATTTGTTGATACATTTTTTAGAATAAACTTTTATCACATATAACTCTTTACTAGATTTTTGTATTTTTTATTAGGTAGGTAACGATAGTAATTTAATATGTTGCATATTTTGTATTAGAAATTTAAATATTTATTAAAATATTAAAAATGACATCTCATATTTAAGAAATATTTTATTTGTACGATAGAGGCATTTAATAACGTATCTTGGATAGTTTTACATAACGTGAAAAATATTTCATAAATATTTATATAGCAGGAATTTTCTCAATCAAGTTTTACTGAACAAAATGCTGCTAAACGAAAAATAGTAAAATACCAAAAAATTTACTTAGTTCAATTGAACGTTTATATCGCATTTGATTGTTCCTTTTATTATCTTGCATTTAAAGAATTGTGTAAATTATATAATATTTTATATAGATCACTTTAATTCAAATCAATATTTAGATTTGTTGTATTACTTTATTTAGATTTGTTGTATTAATCAATGAGTTGGGTTGAATTATTCTATTATTATAATGATGCTTTGTGATAACTACAATTCAGATAAATTACTTCATAGAACTATTTACCTCTCTATTGCATAATTATAGTGCCAATTTATTTGTAAAAATATAGATATATATATATATGTATCCGTCTGTTATAACAAATATTAATAAAGCATTGTTGTTTACGAAAGGTTGAAATCTGTGTTGTTATTCGATCAGTTTTAAGTAACTGTTCTCACATCCTTAGGTGGTGTCAGTACCGGAGGTTCTCGCACAAAGCTGAGCAGCTTTTCTAATTTCATAGATTCTAATTCTGTTTGTGATAAGTGCAATTGTTTCTTCGTTGGTTTCACTTTTATCCGTAAATTTGGAGATAGTTTCAATGTATTTACAGTACCTCTGCGAAATCAGATATTGAATAAATAAATTCTAAATTATATTTTTTGAACTTGTACACAACATACAAATACATATACAACATACAAATACGTCTTTTTTAACTAAACAAATAATATTACTTACTTATCATCGCCGACTATTATAAACGGCAATGCGTTATTGAAAGCTAACCGGGTCAATTTGTTCTTTCGTTTACTGACAATCTGTTGATTGCAAATTGGTCTGTACTTGTTAACATTCAAATCAAACACCGTAACCTTGCCATCGTTTGATACACAAGCCAATACTGTGGAGCTATACGGTGCCCATTGAACATCTCCGATTGGAACACCCAAATCAAACATGAACAAAGGTTCTCTATATACGATGCAAAAAATAATATTATAATTAAGATTGTATAATTATGGAGATATAACTTACGGTCTTTCATCTTCCCAGATCTTGATTCGCCAGTCGCCTGAACAGCTGGCGAAAATGCTGGAATTGAACTTGTTGAAGACTATCCGATATACTGGCATAGTGTGCGCTTCGTGATATGTCCTCATATAGATACTACTGTACGCTGTGTTGCATTTGTACATACTACCTTCCTCTGTGCCCACCAGGAAGACATTCTGATCGGCGGGATGAAATGCAATGCATGTTCCGCATCCTGGATTCGAACGATCGTCGCATAATCGTCACGTCTGACGAGATGTCATGTCTCTGGTTTACCTTTTATTATTTGCCTGATATTACCTTTCAATGTAATCATCGTGCCATCTGGTCCTAATATAGGTGGTCGGTCCAGGAATAACGTCATAACGGTAGTAAGACCGAGATCGTTCTGGTTTAATACCCAGTGATTTATTTTGCCGTCAATACTGACGCTGAAGAACGCTAGATTTCCCTCCTCTGTATCAGGTGCCCAACGAATCTGTAATTAGTATATATGTTAAACATTTCGTTGGACGTTTCTTATAAAAATTCTCGATTTATTGTGAAGCAAAAGAATTAAAAGATTCAACAGACCTCCCATACTAACCCTCCATGTTTCTGTACAACGTCGTTGCTTTTATATTGCGGTGAGGATGGTGGTAACATTACATTATAAACTGCTACTGCCCCGTCCATTGTACCTTATTATTAATTGTTATAATAATAATTATTAGAAAGTTATTATTAATTAACGTTAATATTATAGCAATACTATAATTGTTATTTCGAAAACTAAGTTACAAACTTTAAATATTTTATTAAGATTTTCTGTGAAAATCCTTACTTATTTCTAAAGATAATGTTAATAAGTATATAGAATAATATTATTTCGCACCGATAACTAAAAGATGAGGATGTTGGGCATTAAAGTCTAGACACATTACGGGAGATTCTGTCGGACAAATCCACTCTGGATACGATGGATTTTTCAAGCTGAATAAACACACCGTACCGTTTGTTATTTGACTGTTAAATGATACTAGAACACATAAGTTTTTATTTATAATTTGAACATTATAAGAAGTAAAAGTAGTATGCATATTCTACTAACATGTCCCAAAGGCAACAGCAAAAAGATCATAATATCTACTGTTGAAGCACATATCCGTAATGTCATGTTTTTTAGTCTTTTCGTAAGAAAATTTCCACAGAGGTAACAAGGAGCCTTCGCCGACCTTGAATTCATCGCTCGGATCGTCCCAATATCTATAATCTAATAACAATTAAAGAAATATATACTTGCCGTTGAGGTTTTATTAAAAAAACGATCAAAGAGAAATATGTACCTTGTGATATATCGTCAAAAATATTCTGGTTCACCATTCGCTCCAATGTTTTTGCAGCTTGTAACATTCTACTTGTCATTGCTGAAGATTCCATTTGAGCTTTCTTCTTCACATCCTCCTTCTTTAATGGTGCCAAAGGTGCTCTCTTTTCCTTTTCTTTTTCACGTTGTTGTTGAGCATAATCTTCCTGCCGGTAAAATAAATCAAAACATAATATTTCTCCACTTATATACTTCAAAAAATAAAAATTTATAAAAATATTCTATAATAAAATAGGAAATAAAATAATTCATTAATAATTTTATTTTAATTAAAAGAGGATTTTTTTATTTACCTGATATTCATCAAAAATAGTCCATTGAAAGACATTGGCATTGAAAGTTGCGGTAGGCGGAGGTATAGTTTGTGTACTCATATCCTGCAAAGCATATTTTATTTTTTCTGCATTCTAATAAGGTAATGCTGAAATATATTTGATACACAGAAGAAAATATACATACCCTCATAGGATTATCATATGTCAATGCTGCCCTCTCGCAAAAGTTGAATTGATTAGGTATTTTTTTGGGCTTTGCCTTTTCTATTTCTTCTTCTTCTGGCTCGGCTTCTAATTCGTGTTCACGTTCAACTTCAGCCAGCGCTTCCACCGTTTTATCTATTTCATCTACTGTTCTTATAAAATATAAGATTTATATTTTTATTTAGAAAACAAAGATATTAAATATGATTTGTTGAGTCATATACAAATGTCAATATCTTGTATATTTACCTTTTTCTTCTTCTTCTTCTTCTTCATATTCCATTTCCTCTTCTATTTTATCATATTTCAATTTTTCATCTGCTTCCTCTTCCTGATCGTCGGCTACATAATTAATAGTAATTACAAAATTATTTTATCTAATATATACTTGATATATATATTTTGATTATTAGAATTAAAAGAATTTACCAATCATTCCTCCTGCTAATTGCACCTTAGCTTCTTCAGAATCTTTGTGTAATATAGTACCGGTTATATTCAAAAGAGTCACTAAATGTGGTGGAGGAGGTAATCTGACAAATTCGCGTAATTTCCATGACCATTCAACTAAGGAGTCTGGTACTCTGGTGTTGTGTATAGTTAGCACTCTGGCGAATTCCTCTTGTAATTCCTGGAGTAATGAATATAAATATAAAACTATCCAGGACTAAAATGAAGCAAGAAATTGAACATACCGCTTCCGTTAACTGCAGTTGATCATCTGGTCTTAGCAGAACCTTTCCCCGCATCCAGTCTATATCACCAGCTCCCAAATCTTGTCGTGATATATAAGTCTTAGATAAGGTTAAGTGCTGCAAAATTTTGAGTTTTCAAGAGTAGTTTTAAAGTTTTATTCGATATAAGCAAAAATTTTTCTTTATTTATAATGTATTTATAACGACATACATACCTCTTTACTTATCTCTACTTTGGAAGGTACCTTTTTGGGTATTGTTGGTGCCATATTTTTTTGCGTTTAAAAATATATCACAGATATCAAGAATATATCAAAGAAATTGTAAGTCTTTGGTAATTGATTTGCTAAAATTGTTATTTCTCTCTCTTTATATTTTGTTATAAAAATCAATTATATTCAATTATATGTTCTTCCTAGAATGTATAATATAACTTGTTATTAATGAGATAAATTCTATTCTGTTAGACACTGTTCCAACTGTTCTGATCGAAGTGGATTTATTTTATAGCTTAAGAATATTATTCTTCAATGATTTGTAATATATTGTAATAAAATATGCAAATATGACAGATAAAAACCCCAAACACTTTTCCCTCATATATTATATTCAATACTATGAAGTCTGTTACAGTCTCCTAGGATACGTCAAACCTATGATATCAATAATGTCAACCTGAATTTTAAGTAATGTTTCTATGTCCTAAATATTAGAACCCTCTTCATTAACATATATGAATAAATTTACAGTTTTTATTATTTAACAATATTTATTTTAATATTTATGCATACATTATGTGTACATATAATAATAGGCATGTCTATCTAAAAATCAAGCATGACTGATAAAGTTGCAAAGAATATAAAACATTCGAAAATTGCGTAATTTTATTTGTACATAATATTCTGATTGTTGATATGCTAGTTTTTTTCTTTCGCAACGCTGGGAGCACGCGTTTCTCTTTGGGGTTATTCTACGAAGAAAATCAATAATGGACTATACCACGTAATGTGAGCACTCCAACAAGTTGCAAGTGAATGTCGCTTAAAATTGTGTAAATATTATTTGTTAAGCTTTGTAAAATTATTATTTTACTTGTATAATTCTTATAATAAGAAATGTCATATATATGCCATTAGGTTCTGAAAATAATACATGTCAAAGTAATACATAACACACGTGAAAATTGTGACATATGTACTCAACCTCTGCGTCGTTTGCCTGAATACCAGCATTTGTTAATTACAGTGATGTTATTAATTGTAATCCGTATTTTCTGCTTATGACAGTTCAGTGTTTATATTGAATTTTTTACGTTTGATTAGCAATGAGACAAAATCAATAATGCAATTATTTTTTTCTGTTTCAGATGAATTGAGAAAAGTTTCTATATTTATAAATATTTTGAATCATGGAAGATAGCGGTATTGACAGTGATCCTAAAGCTGTTAACCATATTGAAGATGAAAGACTCTTCTTGGTAAATGACTTCTTGATAAATATATTAAAATAAAGTGGTTGTTATTAGATATATAATAGAGGAATATATAATTATGAGGCTGTAATATATAATTCTGAGATTCATATTATAATTGTGAAATATAAATAATGATCTATATGTAAGGCAAAAATTATTAAATGATATAAAAATGTGTTAATATTTTGTAGGGTAGTGATAGTAGTTGCAGCAGTAACCACATACAGGTCTCTCAACGGAATACAACCAAACAGTTACAAAAGAAACTAGGTATTGTATCAATCTTTTAATTCTTTAAATTGTTTTATTTAAATATACTGCAATAATTATTGCAACTTAATATGATTTTGTTGTAATTATATATATGCAATAACATTATTTTACAGAGACACGTATCGAACAAGCAAAGCGAATCCAACGAAACTCAGATTATATTAAGCTTCCA